TGTCGACGTCCGTAATTCTTTCTCTCACGTAGCCTTCCACACGGCTTTCAATTCCAGTAAACAACTCTGTCCGGCTCTCGCTCCTCTGGGCTCTTCGCAACAGCAGTTATAGCTCACTAAAAGGCCTTTTTCTTTAAGCTAGCGTGACTCCTTATATATCTTTCAGAAAAGTTCTAGAATGTTCTAGAGATCTGTAATATTGCTATTTTTAGAAACATTACACTATGATTACATCATAACAAAAATATGCTGAGTCACGGTTCTAGAAGGTTCTCCTTAAAGTTCTCGCTTAGTCATCATAACTAAATGTTCTAGAAACTTCTTCGTTCTATTTTTAATAATTACGTAACGCAACGCACTCTAGAAAAATATGGGCGCTCTCCATAACATACCATTTATGGTAGATTGGCTCAGTTGTAGTGGAAATTGCCACTCCTAAAAAAGGCAGGAGTATGCAGGCTGTTGCTTCCTTGTGGCAAATGTTCAGGGCTTTGCTGGGGGCACGCTTCCTCTCTAACCTGTGTAGTCAATGTTTCACCTTCCCTGACAAGGCTTGGCCTTACATCTGAGTGATCCATGACTGGTTGATCAGGTTCTGTTTGCTGGGTGTTTGGCTCAACAGCGTTGGACTGTTGATTTCTTGATTAGGGGATGCTACATGTTGCCATTTCTTCAGCCAGGGCATTGGCGGCATTCTTTCTCTTTTGGTGAGAGGTGCTCCGCCAGCTGCGGATTTGGCTTTCTTTCAGTGGCTCTATTCCACACTGCTTCATCACCTCAATGGCATCTTTAGGGTTGGCACGAATTCCCTGAGTGGCCTGACGGTCATAGAATTGGACCATTATCTCCTTTTGTGCCATGGTAAATGTCACCCGCTTACCATTTCGCTACTTGATGGCAAACCCCTCTGGTGATTGCTTCTCTTTGTGAACATAATGATCCTCCCTGGCCTTGTTTGCAGTAATGAGGGGCTCAGGTACATGTTGCACAAGATTGATACTGTATGCAGTAGCAGGCACAGTGCACTGGGTTTCTGCTCGTTCTGTTGGAGTAATTTGTTGATGGATGGTAGCTCCAGTAGCTCCAGCAAGAGGAACTGTTCTTCCAGAAAGTGACTGTAATTGGACCTTGGTTGTCTTTACCTCCTTTCCGACTCCTGCCAAAGATCTGGCCACCAAGCCTCCAGCATAATCGCCTTCTAGAGGAAAAGTGAAGCTACCATACAAGGAGATGTCCTTGAGGGTACCCATTTTCTTTGGTGCTTTTCCTCTGTCAATCAAGAGCTCAAAGGAAGATGTATTCTTGATGCTCTCCAAAGAAAAATTTACAGTATAAATGAAACTTGGTTGACTTCTGATAAAAACAAATCAACTTATAATCCCCACAGTACAAGGTATTTCATCTATGATAGTCTTCTGTGTAATAATTGCGAAATATCACAACTGTCAGATGCAACCTGCCTGTTATTTCAAATTAACCACATGTGACAGGCAGACTTGCTCTATCTTCTTGCTACTACGATGCAACTATACTCAAATAGGTGTGTGAAATTCATGAAAGTTAATTTTTTTTTGGGGGGGGAGGAGTAGCTGGAATAAATATAATGAAGAGAGAAAAGCAAACTAACATGTATTACAAAAATGCATCCCTAACTTACCGAAACAAGTTCTGCCAATTGTTCACCAGTTTCCAGGTCATTTCCAACACGTACCCAGCGCACAATCTTGTGGCTAATGTGGGCAAAATGGGTGTGCAACACGGTTTTGCCTTCCCCTGCCTCAAAATTATTGTACTCAACCAGAGACACATCAAAGCATTGGTTCACTTCTACCAAGTAGACCAACAAGCTGGTATTGTGGTGGTGGGGCCCGTTGTCTGAAAACGAGCAACCAAAGCGAAAATAGAGTTAAGTTGTCATGGCAAATGTACAAAATACATTTAAATGTATAATAATCATGTAATAATAATAATAATAATAATAATAATCAAGGCTGTGCATTAAGAAAAATTACAAGGAGCCTAAAGGTTCCAAAGTATGAGATCGAGGGCACTCAGCATAAAGCTTATATGAAAAGAAGTAAGTTTATCTGGTCGCCCAAAGGCAAAAGTTATTCACGGTCGCCTGAGGCACCTGGGCACCCTTAGGGCACAGCCCTGACAATAATAATGATAATGATAATATTAATAATAATAATAATACAGCTATAATAATAATAGTAATAACAACAATAGCAATAGCAGTAACAATGACAATTATAATAGAAAAGGTTCCTTTAACCTGTACAGTAGCTATATATTAAAACAACAACTAATTCACCAAATTCATGTAAGGTTGAAATGTGCTAACAACACTTACCAGAAAACAAATACACCTTGAATCCAGGAAATGCAGACTCAAGCCAGCGAAAGCCAATATCCAGAGCACTCTGTGTGAACCACGTGTCCTGTTTTGTGTCTTCACACCACAGGTCTATCATTTCTGCAGATCGCTGGTCTGGTAGTACTTGGGCAATAACATAAAACCCATGGAGTGAAATGCCCCGTTTTCCATACCAATTGCGTTGGTTCTCTCGTGTTCGCATGCCAAGTTCCAACTTAATTTTATAGTCCATGACAGTAACACATTCTCCAGGCTTGAAGTGCCTCAAGGCAAACTTGTAGAAATCAGCTTGATGTTTTGTCCGCAAAAAATGCGAAACATAACTACACTGTGTGTTGATTGATTCTTGAAGATAATTTTCAATCTTTTCACTTTCAGTGGAATTAGTTGAATTCTGCAGTGAAGTAGTTAGCTTATCACAAACTTGATAAAACTTTGTCATTTCTTGCATACTATCGGGGTGCTCCTCAGAACAAGTCCCAAATGCATAAGCAAGACAAAGCTCTAAGCAAGAAAGTGTCTTTCTGCTAACTTGGAGTAATTCCTTATAAGGAATGTGTGATGGTCCGTTAGCTCCTTGACCACCATGGCAGGGTCAAAAGAGTTTGACTCTCCCCCTCCAAGGTTAGCAATTTTGTGGACAAGTTCGCACATTGCATCAAAGTTTGTGTGACCAAAGTCATCACACAAATTGCAGAGACCTGCCAGCATAGTGTTAGTGCGAAAGCTTTTTGGCAAATGAGTGTAAACAAAGGTCCTTCAGGGAATCTTGCCAGTAACGCAGAGCTGTTTCTTTCCCATTCACCAAGACTCCACGGCAAGATGACGCTCTGGCAATGTCATCCCGGGTGAGGAGTTCTGTCAATTCTTGCAGAATTTGTGGGCTGACCCGCTGCCTAGTAAATTTTCAGTCGCCAGGTGGTACACCACCACGTCCAAACAAGATGCAATGTACTCTTGCTGCTGTGATGGTGTTGGAAGAGCACTGGAATAATGACGTAATCTGCCAATCTTTTTGGCTGCTTCAACCCGTGAGCTGACATCTAATGGTGTGTCTCCAAACATAGCAATTTTACTCTTGTCCTTGGTGTTGCCAATCAAAAGTTTTTGTTTCTGTCCTTTTGAATTTTTCTTTGCTTGTTTTCGAGCCTCCTTATCCTTGCAGCTTTTGAATTCTTTAGCTAAGGCCTGAAGAAACTGATCTGCATGAGGCGAAGGTTGCTGCAATGTAACAAACAGCTGCTTCCAACTACTGCTTTGCAGAATGTCCTCCATAAGTTGGACTAATGGTTGCCCAGGCTCAAAGTGAACATACTTAAGTGCCACTGACTTAAGTGTCTCCATGATTTCTGAACGCATGTCCCTCTTTGTTCGATCTTGGGCTTCCTGGTAAGGCCTCAAGGGAAGATTAGGCACTTGGGTCCCTCTCGACAAATTCACCTCGGAATTCTTGCTTTTGTCTGCATTTGTTACGATCTGGAAGACATCATTTATTTTTCATATCAGCCTTGTGAGAGAAGACATCCAAAATTACAAACTAATCTGACGTATGTTTTAAATTTTAGAGCGCACAATGAAGAAAAAGGGATTTCATATTGATGCCTCAAAAATCAAATGATCAAATGTATTCACTTCTCACTCCACTCCTTTTTTTACTTTCGTAAAAAGAATGGATCATTGAGAATAAAAAGCTCGTAACTTTTGTTTACAAAGTGTTTATAACAACTATAAAAAAGGCAGTGCAACAAACTAACACAAAAAACTGTTGATATTAGACAGGTGTGATTTGTCACAAAACCTTTTTCAATTGTTGGGCCAGAAAAATTATATGCCCTGAAACATGCCAAGTTCACTTGCTGATAAACCTTTAATGCGTCTACCACATACGCATTTTCTATCCAAAACAGTGAAATAAATAAGCTTACTGTTTGAATTTGGGATTCTGACATGTCACATCCACAGTCAATTTCTACTGGTGCAGGCTGTTGGATATCCAAATCCCTTAGGAATATATAAAAGCAGAAGTAAATTTAGTTTACAGCAATAACTTGCCTAGCTAAAAGCTTTTCTTCTATCTGAAGAACACAGAATTGTAATACAGTTTCAAATCTTTGCACAAATCTAAGAGTGAAATAAAGATGCTTACTGTTTGAATTTGGGCTTCGGTGGCAAACAGAGGGTCCCCATACATGAGGATGCAGATTGCTGAATATCCAAATCACGAGCAACTGAATCTGTCTAAAGTAAAATAAAACGGAAAACAAATTAAGTTTACAGCAATGACTTGCCTCTAGCGTCTAGCTAAAGGACAAGAATTGAAGAACGGTTTCAAATCTTCTCACCTTGGTCTACGAAAGTGTTATTCAAACGTGTGTTAGCCCAATATTATATCAAAATTTCCCTACCTCGGCTGTTAATTTTCGGCATTTTTCCTCCACACTAATGCGACCTCGGCAAGCAACACAAATATGCCTCTTCCTCTTTCCATGCTTCGTATCAGGAGAGCAGAAGTTTAGTTCGTAAAAATTCGCAACTCGCATTTCGATTTGCTCGGCGTGATGCCATTCCTCATGCTTGGCGCACGAACACACAGCTTTCGGGGGCATTGCCCGAAAACAAAACAAAATAGACGGCACAAAAACCTAAAAAATCTTCAACACAGAATAACAAATATGAAAACTAATTTTCGACACGTTAAATGACTGATTGTATAGAGAGCAAACAAGGTGAGTCTTAATCTCGGAAGGATCCAATATGGCGGTCGCCAACTACGATTTCTCGGAAAACTGTTTTAACTGCTTGCCCACATACGAATCCCTCGATATTCTCCGGAACAATAGACATGACGTAAAGCTAGTCAAAAACACAAAGGATTTATAATTTTTCGGACATTTTCGTAAAGAAATCAGAAAAAGTTGTGTTTTAGCCAATCACAGAGCTAGAGTTAATTGATTTCGCAATTCTAAAACTGATCACTACTGCACATGCGTTGCCACAGAGCGCTATCGTTCTTACGCGGACCATTACTTAATAAACACATTCAGTTCAATTTACTTTATTGAGTCTTTGACGCCTATTTGTACAACGAATGTCATTCCATCGGTCTGAATATTTCACTACCGTTCATGCTTCTACCTCTCCCATGACTAGATTTGTTTTTTGCCCGGAATCTTGCCAACCTTCATAGGTTTTCATGACATCCTCAAAAGTAAAGCAGTTATCCTGAATTTTCTTTACTACTCTCACAAATTCATACCAATGCGTAAATAAGTACAGCTGCATGTGGGCTCCTTTGGGAATACCAAACAGTCTTAGTTTTTCAGTGACCGCATGGTCCATGAGTGGACACCACTCGTCAAAATTAATTCTTTCAATTTCGTTTCGGCGCGGGAGAATAAACGGTTCGTCTTGTTTTAAAATCTCGCGAACGAGTACCAGAAATATCCACACATCTCTATAGTCGGCGACTTGGGAAATGAGGCGATGGCCTATTTCTAAGGACGGCGTGTCTTCAATCCTAAGATGGCATGTAGTAAGACGCGGGAGCGACCCGTTTTGGTACAGGAATGTGTATCGAATTTATAGATTTCGTGAGGGCATAAATAGGTTTGATAATATACTTCTTTGGGGTACGAATCGGGAAGCTCTTTACAACACTCCATCGGCACATAAATGACTACAAACATTTCATTACAAACAAATTTATTGTTTCACACCCTACTTCACATTAAAATCGAATCTGTTCACACAGAAAAAATGATTAAACTAAAATGATCATCGTCTCAAATTAAACTAAAATGTTCATCGTCTCAAATGTTCCTTTTGCACCAACTGATTACTCATTCTCTTTCTCCGGTTCTTTTCCCCTTTCTCCAGTTTCGCGCTCAATCGTTTTTCTGCTATGTAGCGCAGTACCTTGCGCACACCGTCCACTGCCACTCTCTTCTTTTCTAGGAACAATTCATCCTCGGAGAGCTCTGGTTGACTAATGCCAGCTTCGATTGATTCGAATATTCTGCAGTGAAATACCCGTAATTTTTTGCTCCCGCCGAAATATCCTCTTCATTCAATATATCCAAAATGGTGTCCAGCATAAGGTAAATCTGTTCAGGCATTAAGACCGTTTTCTTTATCACGATACGACAAGAAGCCATTTCTTCTTCTTTTCATCAATGTGTTTCTGGTAGAAAAGAGGACGCCTCGTGGTTTGACTCTCTCTCATATATACATCTTTAACCAATCATGTTCTGTTTCTTGTGACACGTGCACACCATGCGATACCCATGACACACACACCCAGAACGTGATACTCCTTTGTCATTACTTTACCAGTCTTTAAGACTAGGTTTACACTAGAGGAAATTGTTCCGTATTCGTGATGAATCCGAAACGTTTTAGTACCGGATTGATTCTGCCGTTTACACGAAAGTTGACGAATCCGAAATAAAAACTTCCCGGTTTGGTCATTTCTCCGGAGATTTTGAATCCGGAATTTAAAGTGAGAACTTTGAATCCGATGACTTTTGAATCTGGAAAGTTTTGTCGTGTAACCGCTTTTTTTCTCGGATCCGGATATTATTTCCGCCTGCAATCTTTTGAGTTTGCGGTGAAACCAAAATGGATCTGGTGCCAACATTGCTGGCGGTCTCCGGTTGCCTAATCTTGTTGCAGGTTCAGGCGATAAATTTTATCATGTGTACCACAGTATTCCTGAGGAAACGCAAATTATTATTGCTAGGAAGTTTAACGTCAGCCACATTTAATCGCCGACGACGTAGATGGCAGGATCGAAGACCGAGACGGTTTTGGGTTAGGCCAGGTCGAACAAGTGCCTGGTGGGACAATATGATGGGAAATGTCACGGTAGCTAGCGAGTGGAGAGAAAATTTTAAATGTCCTACCCTACCTTTATGAAACTTTGTGAAGATCTTAGGTCCCTAGTTGAGAGAAAATCAGAAAAAAAAA